ACGTCGGTCCTGGAGAGCCGCAGCCCTGCAGAGTTTTGCTTCAACCCTAATCAAACACACCTGAACAAGCTAATCAAGGTCTGAAGGGTTATTAGGAAGCTACAGGCAGGTGATTTTTAATTAGGTTTGGAGCTGAACTCTGCGGCTCTCCAGGACCGGAGTTCGCCACCCCTGGTCTATGGTATGAATTCAACACATATGTAGCTGACTGAATTTACTCATTTCAATAAATCTAAATGACTGACGGAATGTCTCTGTTAAGTACACAAATTATAAAGCTGATTTGAGATCAGTTACAACTAGACGTTAAAGGGGGTCATATGATGTTGCTAAAAAACATTATTTTGTATATCTGGTGTAATGCAATGTGTTTACGCGTTTTAAGGTTCAAAAACACATTATTTTCCACATACTGTACATTATTGTTGCTCCTCTATGCCCTGCCTTTCTGAAATGCGTCGATTTTTGCAAAAGCTCATCCTTCTGAAAAGCGCTGTGTGCTCTGATTGGCCAGCTATCTAGTGCGTTGTGATTGGCCGAATACCTGAAGCGTGTGACGGAAATGTTACGCCCCTTACCAGGTTCAGGAAACTTTCCTCCGTAAAATGTGCTGCACACACTCGAATATTTGGGTTGTACTGTTCTGGAACAGTGTTGTAAATAAAACATAACCACTGGTTTCTAGTTGTGTCCTCTTTTGGAAGGCCAAACAAAGTAGGCTTTCGCATTGATTCGAAACATAAATTGGTATAGTCCTGAGGTTCCTACGGGTACCTGCACATGTAGGAGTACAAGGAAATGAAATAGTCGATGAACTGGCCAAACAAGCAATGAAACATATGAACGTTGAGGTACAAATTCCACTGAGTAAAGTAGAAATAAAAGAAAGTATTAAAGAACACATGAATAAAAAGTGTCAGGAAATGTGGGACAAGGATTTAAAGGACAGACACCTATACAATATCCAAAAACAAGTTGGCAAAGGGAGAATATGCTTTAACAATAGAAAAGAAGACATAATTATTACTCGACTTTGAAGGACATTCTGGTTTAAATCATTCATTATTCACAATAGGGAAACATCAGTCAGGATTATTTACTACATGCAATGAAGCAGAGACTATTGAGCATGTCTACATTGTGCAGTATACCAAAGAACGAGAGGAGAAGAAACTGAGAAGCATAGGAGTATTTATTTTCACTATATCAAATCTTTTAAGTTGTGCCTCAGGACAGACAAGTATTATGAGAGAAATTCTTAGTCATCTGAAGATAACAGGATTAGAAAGTAAAATTTAAATTTCATA